GAATTAGGGCCATGTAAATGGAAAGGAAGGTGAAAAGGAAGAGGAAAAGATACAGAGACTGGTAAGGAAGTGACTCTGTATGAGTTGGAGTGGTTGAATGAACATAAGGATGAGAGAAACAGTGGAGCATTAAGTGATGGATGGGTGGCAGTGCCATAATGTGACAAGAATGGTTGAGTTAGAGATGTTTAGAAGGGAACTGGTTAAATGTTTGGGTCTTATGCACAGTGGGAACCTTTAGCTAGAGATACATAGGTGGAAGTCATCTGCTTGCAGGTGGAGGTTGGGCCGTAGGAGTGGATAAGATTACTCAGAGAAGGAAAGAAGAGGCCAAGGATCGTGCCCAAGCTGGAGCTCAAATAATTAATGGGTAGGGAAAGGATAAGCAGCCAGCAAAGGAGATATAGAGAAGGAAGAAGAGACCCAGTAAACAGGTAGTTCAGAAAGCAGTGGAAGAGGACATTTCAGAAGGAAAAAGGCCAGTGTCTGAAGCCAAGCAGTGTCAGGATGGAGGGAGTCCACTGCATTTGATAAGTGGGACTCTGTTTGAGGGGCTTCTGCATCTTCAGTTTTCATATATAGAGCTGGATCAGCAGGGCCTTTCTAGGATAGAGAAAAAAGATAAGGTGAGGATCACATGATGGTAAGGACTCTGTTCCAAAGAAATCCGAATGTATCCCTTCTATAGCAAGCCCCGGCTGTCAAGATGTTTGTTTGTGTGTAAGCCAGTGCCTAGGTTGAGCCGAACTGTATAGTCCCCCTACTCAGAAGAGACCTCTGTTAATCATTTTATTGTAGGGCTGGGGCTGTAGCTCAGTGGCAGTGCACTTGCCTATCATTTGTGAGGCACTGGGTTCGATCCTCAGCACCACATAAAAATAAATAAAGATATTGAGTCCAACTACAACTAAAAAGTAAATATTTAAAAATAAATAAATAAAATAAATAAAAGCATGCTGTCCATCTATAACTTCAAAATTTATTTTAAATAAAAAATTAAAAAAATAATTTTATTATAAATGCTTAAGACTTTCTCTGCATATAAACAAATTAGACGTTTGTATGTATACACATGTGATTTTTAAAGTCCTTCATATGCTGTGCAACTGTGCATGCTTTTTTTTTTTTTTTTAATTTGTGGTGCTGGGGATTGAACCCATGGCCCTGTGCATGTGAGGCAATCACTCTGCCAACTGAACTATATCCCCAGCCCTGTGCATCCTCTTTTGAGAACTTTTTTTTTCACTTAACTGAATGCAGTGATCATCTTTCCATGTTACTACATGTAAAACTATTCCAGTTTTTAATGGTTATAAAGTGGTTTGTTTAAATGGACCATAAATTTTTTTAACAAATTGAACTCATAATTATGAGGTTGTTTGTATCTTTTCACTACCTGAAACTATATTGGGATGAATATTTTTGTAACATATGTCTTCCCTACAACACTTTGGCAGAGTGTTGTAGTCAGCTTTTTTGCTGCTGTGACTAAAGGACCAGACCAGTGTAACTGTAGAGGAAGAAAGGTTTATTTAGGGGCTCACGGTTTCAGAGAGGTCTCAATCCACAGATAGCAGACTCCATTCCTCAGGGCTCAAGGTAAGACAGGACATCAATAATGATCAGAAAGCAGAGAGAGACTCCACTTGTCAGATACAATTATATACCCCAAAGCCACGCCCCAATTCCCACCTCATCCAGCCACACCCTCCACTTCAGTTACCACTTAGTTAATCCCTATCAGGGATTAATTCACTGATTGTATTAAGATTCTTCTAACCCAATCATTTCTCCTCTGAACTTTCCTGCATTGTCTCACACATGAACTTTTGGGGGACATCTCACATCCAAACCATAACACAGGGTAAGTATAAGCCAATTCCAAGGATCGTGTCCTACTCATCTCTGTCCTCATCATCAGGCACAAAGTAGGTACTCAGTGGGAGTGTTGCAATACCTTGAATATAGGTATCTTATGCATTTTTAAATGTTTTTATTTGATTAATTGAATGATTAAACCCAAGACCCTATGTGGTAAGCATGTGCTCTACCACAGAGCTACATCTCCAGCCCTGATCTTTGTGCTTTTAGCGATCTGTGTGTGTGTGTGTGTGTGTGTGTGTGTGTGAGTGAACAGCACACACACACACACACACACACAAAATTGCTGAGGGAAGAGTCTCAGCTATATCAAGAGCTGTACCCAGGAAAGGAAAATATCAGTAGTGATTTCTGCTTTGAAATGATGTGTGTTTCAAAAGCAGTCTCCTCAGCATTATCATCTAAGAAATACCTTTAGATGTCTCTAATGAATGCTCTGCATTCCTCTTCCTCATCTTCCTGTTTATGGTGAGTATTGATGTACTCCTTTCCCTGCTCAATAGAAAATCCAGATAAAAATCCTTTCCAAATAAATGGTTACAGTGAGAAGTTAAAGACTCTTAATATTCTGTTACCCCTATCTTTCCTTCAACATTACTTTTTTTTTTTTCTTTTTTTAACCTCCAGGATTCTCTTTAAACTTTTAAGCAGCGATAGTTACTTGTTCAAGCCCCCCATGACCAGTCCCTGGCTAGTACCCAGCACAAATGTCCTTCAGGAAGTGTGTGGAGAGTAAAGGAAGCGAATAGTGTTAGGCTATATAGTTGGCATAATTGGAGAAATTTTGTTTTGACCATTTTCCCAAATTAAATGTAAATGTCTGCCTTCCTTTTAATTATCATTGCTTTATATATGTTCAAATATCTTATAAGGCTATTTGTACCTGGGAAACTCCTCTCTTTCATACTCTTGCCCAGTTATCCTTCTAAAATAAGTCTAGAAACTTTGGGTTGTATCTAACAAAAATAATCATTGAGACATTTTCATTGAGATTACAAATTAATTTCTATCGTGGTATTTTTGTGCTTATCTTTCATCTAATTATATGGTATATTTTCCCCTTTATTAGATCTTGTTAGGTGCATCTAGTAAAACAACAAGCTACTCTTCTTCCTTCTCCTGCCACTGTGCTCACTGCTGGAGATACAAAGATAAATGTGTCACAGTTCTTTCCCTCAAGAAGCTCTCTTCAGTGATTATCTGATAACTGATCAGATAATTACAACTATTGTATTTATTGTAATTCTTGTGATAAGCAGAAGCAAAGGGGCCAAGGGAACACAGAGCAGGGGTCCCAACCAGGATGGGGGCTAGTAAGGTAGACTCCTGATAGGAGACCCCTGAGTGGCTCTGAAAGCCTGAATGGAAGTGAGCCAGATGCAGAGGGAAGAGAGTGTTCCAAACAGAATGTTCATTGGGATGTGAATTCAAAACTAAAGAGATGAAAAAATATTTAAGTGATTTAGGAACTACTGAAGGATTTAAGTGCAGGTGTGAAATGGTCAAATTTGTGTTTTGGAAAAAAATGAGAAAGAAAATAATAAAATTAAATGAAGGCCTCTCTAGCTTCAGGAAGATGGCATTAACAGGTTCCAAACCTAGCCAGAGAGGCCAGTCAGGAGGCCTTTGTGGTCACCTGGAGGCAGTGTGTCCCAAGGCAAGGGCACTGGTTCTAGGAATGGAGCAAAAGAAGCATCCAGAGCTGTTAAGGAGGTAGGCACCACTTTCATTAATGTGTTACTAATACGGTTTTTACTAGCTTAGGCAGGATTTTTTTGCCTATTGGATTCTAGCTGGTTATTGCTGCCTTAAGAAAGCTCTTGATTTTTAAACATATATCTGTCTTGAATTCTTTCTTTTTCTGAAATTTTAATTCCTGTGTTTAGTTGATTTCTTTGGCTTTTTATGCATATTTATTCTTATAGATAATTTTGCATATTGATATGTTTGACCCTTCCCCCTTTCTTCCATTTTTATTATAACAATCTGAAACATACACAAAAATAAAGTAAAATATGAGAACAAAATTCCATATGCCCTTTGGCCTCTCTTCATCTTTCTCTGTTTTGCTTTTGTGGTGTTTGCCAGATCTTTTGTCATTTCAGCTCAGTGTACTTGAGTATGCATCTCTAAAAAAGTATGAATATTTTCTCAGGTAACAACAGTGCCACTTTCTTGCTTAACAAAATTAGCAATAATTCCTGAATATAATTTAATTTCTGGTACACATTCATATTTTTATTTATCTCAAAGTAGTTGGTTTTTTATGATGAAATCACATATCACATTTGGTAGTTCAGACTCAGTCCTTAACCCACCTTTTTTTTTTTTTTTTTAGTTGTATTTGGACACAATACCTTTATTTTTTAAAATGTTTTTTCAGTTATTGATGGACCTTTATTTTATTTATGTATATGTGTTACTGAGAATCGAACCCAGTGCCTCACACATGCTAGGCAAGCACTCTATTACTGAGCTACAATCCCTGCCCACCTTTTATTTTATTTATTTATTTTTATGTGATGCTGAGGGTTGAACCCAGCGCCTTGCACGTGCTAGGCAAGCACTCTACCACTGAGCCATAACCGCAGCCCCCTACCCACCTTTTTAAATGTTGAAGAAACTGTGTCTGTTATCTTGTAGATTATCCCACATTCTGAATTTGTCTCTATTTCTTCATACTATAATTTAATTTAACTTTGTTTTAGGTACCAGGGATTGAACCCACAAGTATTTAACCACTGAGCCACATCCCCAGCCCTTTTATTTATTTATTTATTTATTTATTTATTTATTTTTGAGACAGGGTCTTGCTAAGTGGCTTAAGGCCTCAGCCTCCTGAGTTGCTGGGGTCGAATAACTTGCACCACCACCCCTGGCTCTTATTCTTTTTAAGAATCTATTGATGATGCCTCTAGTTTATGACTTACTCTGTCAACAAGTCTGATTCTCTCCACTAATAAAACCAGCCTTTGTGAAAACCGTCTCATTTACACAAGACCCTTCACATCCATAGGTATGTAAGTGACTGTCAGTGCCACACATCAGACCATCTAGTTCTGTGCTTTTCAGAGATAGATACAACTATGTCTCCTTTGTTTTTTCTCCTCCTTTTCCAGGTCACACTGTGAACAAGATGCGTAAACATGCAGATTCAGAGGTGGCTTCTCTTGCCAAAGAAGTTTACACTGAGTGGAAAACGTTCATTGAAAAACATTCGGATAGACCTTCTATTGAAGTTCGAAGTGATCCCAAAACTGAGTCACTTAGGAAAAATGCCCAGAAATTACTCTCAGAAGCCTTGGAATTAAAGGTAAAGTTCTAATTGGAATGTGATTGCTAGGAGCTCTTGCTTAAATAAGCCCTAAGTTTTTCGTGAGCCTTCATAGACTTAATGCTGTGACCTTGTTCTAACAGGTAACTCTAAGGATTCTAGATTTATAAGCATTCTGGGAAATAGTGTTATAAGAATGTGGGCTTTGGAATTAGCAAGACCTAGGTTGAAACCCTGGGTGTCATGATGCCTTAGGCAAATTTCTTAACATTTCTGAAACTTGCTTTCTTTTTCTAAAAAAAGAGAATTACAATTCCTACCACCGACATGGTTATTGGGAAAGTTAAATGAACCATTTATACAAAGGAATAGTATCTAGTGCCTGCTGATTACAAGTCACTTAATGAATATTGGTTCCTTCCCATTTAAAATTCTTTCCCTTCCCAGTGAAGTAAAAATTCTGAGATGGCCTGTGTTTTGGAATATCAATGACAAAAGAAAGAGCTGTCTACTGAGTTGGGGGCGGGTGGCACACACTTGAATTCCATTGGCTCGGGAGACTGAGACAGGAGAATCATGAGTTCAAAGCAGCCTCAGCAATTTAGTGAGTCCCTAAGCAACTTAGCAAGACCCTGTCTTTAAATAGAATATTAAAAAAGCTGGGGATGTGGCTCAGTTTGGTTAAGTACCCCTGGTTCAATCCCTGAAACAAAACAAAACAAAACAACAAAACAAAAAAAGTTGTCTATTGAGAAAACTCTGCTCTCCCATTTTTGTTACCCCCCTACTTTTAATTCTTTTTTTTAAAATATTTATTTATTTATGTATTTATTTTAGTTTTTGGTGGACACAACATCTTTGTTTGTATGTGGTGCTGAGGATCGAACCTGGGGCGCACGCACGCCAGGCGAGCACACTACCGCTTGATCCACATCTCCAGCCCCCCTACTTTTAATTCTAAGGCATAAAATCAATTGCATAAATATATTCCTTATCATCTTCATAGCCAGAAGTTGAGATGATATTAGTGGTTTGAAGTATACATGCTGGAATAATTTTTGCTCATTTATAATGGTATTAATCATCACCAAACAACAAATCTTGCAAGCTAATTAATACTCTGGAAAAATCAGATATATAACATTGTTATGATTTGAATCAGAAACATCTCTCAAATTCTGATGTGTTGAATTCAGGCTTGGGTGCCCAGTGCAGCAATGTTTAGAGGTGGAGTATTTGGGAAGTGGTTGGGTCATGAGGACTCTGATTTCTTCAATGGATTAATCCATTGATGGATTCATAATTGAATAGAGTTCTAGGAGGTGGTAGAAACTGTAGAAGGTGGGGCCTAGTGGGAGGAAGTAGGTCACTAGAAGCATGCCCCGGAAAGGTATATCTTGTCCCTGGCTTCTTCTTTGGACTTTGTTTCCTGGCTGCTATGAGGTGAGCTGCTTTGCTCTTCTCATCATTCTGCCCTGATGCTCTGCTTCATCCCAAGCCCAGAAACAGTGGAGCCAGCTATCCATGGACTGAAACCTCTGAAACTATAAGCCAAAATAAAGATTTCTCCTCCAAGTTGATTTTGTCAGGTATTTTGTCACAGTGACAGAAAGCTAAATAAGCAAAAACATCTATATTTTTCTTCTTCCCAGGATATCCCAGGCTCTCCTTATTAAAATATCCTTAAAGAATAATTTAATTATTTTTAATAAAGGAAGGAATTTAGCAGTCTTGCTGAAGTGTTAGATCTGTTACTACATTGTCAAATTTTTTTTTCTTTTTAACCTTACCACTTCTATCTGAATTTTTATCTACAAAAGAAGAGTAGGTGGACTTGTGCTATATTATTTACTTTTTGAAAAGAAGATTTTAGTTTAAAAAAGAAAACTTAGAATAGAAAATGAGAAAACTGTAGAAAGCAGAGAAAAATCTCCACTGAACCTACCACCCAGGCATAATCTTAACATTTTGGTGCATTTCCTTTTTCAGTAAAAATTACTATAGCTTTTTAAATGAATGCTGGGCAAATTATTATTAGAGCAAATTATATGCCAAACATTCTGTAAGATTTTTATTGATTATTTAAATAACATTGCATAAAATTGACATGATTATTTACATTTGTGCTTTCTCTTCAATCTTGATCAATTTCAATTAACATCATTTTATATATCCTTTTCTATATATCTTCATTTTTTCATGTTTATAATTTTTAATGTCTATCTGATGGTGCAGGGAATTGCTGTTTAGTAAGTTTGCTTAACTTCTTTTAAATGAAGCTTCAGTATGAATATTGGAAGAGAGAAAAACATATGTAGGTTATAAGTAACTTTCCACAGTATTGATTAGCCAACAGATGTGCTATTTTAAATAAAATTCATTTTTTAAATAAGCCAAAATTATTGTAGAAACATACAGTGTGGGTATATAATACGTAGTTAATGTGGTGGTAAATACCAGTTCCCTGTGGTATCTTTTTAAGTAAATGATAATAACGAAGCTATGCTTGTAAGGATTAATGAGCAGTTTGCCTGCTATATTAAACTCCATAATAATTATCCTTTTAGTTTATCCATTAATTATCCTTTAAATGGCACATCAAGTGGTAAGCACTCAAGTGTTACAAAGCAAAGTTAAAAAAGTGATACATTCGTTAGTGCTTTCCATCGTAATTGGAAAAAATATCAGATTAAGCATAGCTGAATGGTTTTGTTCCCAAAGAGTAAATTTTAAAAATTAAAAGTATGCATCTTACTGCCTTCCTTGGCCAAAAGAAAAAAAAAATCAATCTGTTTTTCTTGCATAAATAGCATTTGATGGTATTTTTGTTCGTTTGGGATGTAAGAAAATGTAAATACAAACACTTTTTCGTAGGGTTAACCCTAGCACCTATCATCATGAGACATTTCCATATTAGGGTAAATCAATGAACCATCTAATCCAGTATCTGGTCTTTGACAGTAATCAATGTGGAGTGCATTCAAATCAGACACCAGGCAATAGTAGTAAAACCGTTGGGTAAGTTATTGGCCCAGTGACTGAAAAGCTTTTACAATTTGATCCTAGCATGTGTTTTTGTAAATACCAAATCTACTCATTATATTCTTTGTAGAAAAAGATGTTTCCATGTTGTTTCAGTTATATCCTTTAATAGTGAAAGTCAGAAATGAAGAATATACACACAGCCAAAAGATTCATCTCTTTACTACCCTACAGATCTTGCTTTCTAGATTCATGGATTATGTTCTTGTTCTTGGAATAATGGAATAGATGAATAAAAACTCCATCGTTCAAATCCAAGCTCTATTCCCCTTTACTATCTCCCTTCCGGATCTTCTTTGTTCTTCTCCGTCTTTTAGATCTTTCCTCATATGAACATCCCCTGTGGTGTCATTCTCTTACTTCCCCTTCCTCATTATCCACTCTCCTTCCTACCTCATGTCCTGTGATCATTTTCCTATTATGTCATTAAAAAAAATGAACCTGATTCTCAAAGTGAGCCTGTATCATTAAGAGTTATGAAACACTGGCTGGTTGGCTCAGTTGGTTGTCAGATGGTGCTAATGAGATCCAGGTCAGGGGTACATTCTCCAATGGGACTGTTAGTTTTTTTCTTTGTTTAATGGCCTCAGGCTGCACCCTTGGCTTTGACCAGCTCTCTCATAAATGTATTCAAGTGGTCAAAAAGAAGTGTGAGTTGATACGTACAAATCCAATCACGCTATCAGAAAACCCACACAAAGTTTGCTTCTTGTGGATGTTCGATTCATTGAATGTTTAGTGGGATTCTACTAGGTGTCAGGGGAAAATACAAACATAAATGAGCTGCAGTCCCTCTCCTAGGAAAGCTTGCTATCTCCTGGGCTGGGGTTCCATCCCCAGTAACACACAGAGAGAGAGAGAGAGAAGTGCTAGCTTACCATCTTTTGAATGAGAGCCTGTAAATAATAAACAGAAACATGAGGCAGTCTGAAGTAGTGGTGTAAGCCCAGCAAGGGGTATAGACATATAAAGTATGGAAATGTTAACTCTGGTATAAGAATCTGGGAAGGATTTTGCTAACTAGAAAACACATAATAAAAAGACATTCATCTGCTATGCATGATGTTATTGAGAGGGCAGGAGAGGAGGTAGGTATACATGGGGAAGAAGCACATTCATTTAATAAATATTTATTGAACACTTCCTATGGTTAACAAAAGAAGAAGACCTTATTTCCTTGCATTTATAGAGCTTACAGATGTGGCAAACATCATGATTGATGATGGCACCATTTCCCACCAGATCTATTCCCTGGTGAAGAAGAGCATGTTTTATATCTTCCCCAGCTAAAGCCAGTTTGCCCAGGATTAGACAAGTGAATTACACACGCTCCACACACAGACACAAATAGATAAGGAAGGCACGTCAGATTCTCTGTCTCCGAGAAACGGGAACTAGGAAATACCAAGAAAACATCAGTGCAAGTATTGAAACAGAAGGGATGTTGGAGGAGTTATGAGGAAGCAGAAGGTGTGGGTAGAGATGTGTAGCATAAGAGGAGAGAACCAGGCGGTTAAAATTGGTAGTGAGTAAGACCCAGGGAGAGGAGCAAAAATGTGTGAGAGAGACCAGGCAGAGGATGAGAGAGAGAAATATTGCTAAATACAGCAAATCGCTAGATCTCTTCTAGGGTTTCTGTTCCCATTCCCATTTCTACAGATGTATCTTATAGCAAAATCTCTTTTTCTCAGGGTCTCAGTGAAACTGATCCTTTTATCCAAAAGGGTTTACTTACCTAAAGCACCAAGTTAGGACCCATTGGAAAGGGCTTATCAACTTGGGCAAGTTTGGATTACCCAAGGCTGTTACAAGATAGGCCTTCTTCACTTTGTGCAATGAATTTCTTATACACAATGGTGCAGGATGAATTATTTTCCTTTATGACTTATATTTTAATATCACAAACATTTTTCTGCATTTCTTCATTTCATTGTCCCTCATTTAGCAAGAGGCATGTGTGAGAATTGTTAGATACTGCCTATTCCCATCACACCTCGGGCCTAGCTTCTGTCAAGCTGCGCCAGGCGCTCTCTATACATTCCATCTCCTTTCTAGGCTGTGGCTTCCTAGAGGGGAGGGGTCAGTTCTTTTATGTGCTGTGTCTCCAAGAACCAGCCAGACTCAGAGTACCAACTCTATTTGCTGGATTAAGATATATGAGCAGCCATTTATATGAATTCCAAGGCACTCTCAGATTTGGGTTTGTTTTTTTATAATAGCACAATTTGATGGAATGGCTATGACTCTTTTATAAACACACAGACCCTTCTTCCTTTATAAGCATGCCCCTTTTTTAAAGAAAGATTTTCTTACCTGTTAAACTAAGTGAATCTCTAAATATTTGGTGAGTAACCAGCCTCATACTAGAACAGGAGCCTCTCTGGAAAATGCTATGGGTCAAATGCTGGGCAGCTAGGCAGCCACCTTGCCAGCCTCCGAACGTAGTCTGGTATCAGGGCTGCCTCAGGCCAGGGACTCACTAGTGCATCGTCTACTCAGGAACCCTTGACTTGAAAAACTTGAGCTCTGTGGGTTCTAGAGAGCTGTGGTGGCAAGTCCACTCCCTCCAGCCCAGACCTAGAAGGTAATCAGCCAGCCACTGGGACCACAGGCTTTCATGAGCATCTTTTGCCTAGTAGACCTCGGCTTATGTCTGGGCCTGACAGCATTCATATTCTGTCTCACTCTCTTTCTCTCTCAGTCCTATTCTGCTCCCTGTTTGGTTCTTGTATCTTCAGAGTTTCTCTTTTTATTCCTTCTGTGTCTGTCTCACATGTTAGGACATGTTATCAAATATCAGATAAGACTTTTTATTTTTGGTGTCTCTTTCTTTGTTTTTCCTCTTGTGTGTATGATATGTGTGTGTGTGTGTGTGTGTGTGTGTGTGTGTTTTACTGGGGATTGAACCCAGGACCTCACACATGTTAGGCAAGCACTCTACCACTGAGCTACACCTCCAGCCCTTTAAAAAAAAAAAAAAAAAAATATATATATATATATATATATATATACACACACACACACACACACACACATGCACACACACACATATTTTAGTTGTAGGTGGACACAATACCTTTAGTTTGTTTATTTATTTTTATGTAATGCTGAGGATCAACCTCAGTGCCTCATACATGTGAGGCAAGTGCTCTGCCACTGAGCCACAACCCCTCCACCCCATTTTTTAAAAAATTATTTTAGTTGTAGTTGGACACAATACTTTTATTTATTTATTTTTATGTGGTGCTGAGGATTGAACCCAGGCCTCTCATGTGCTGGGCGAGTGCTCTACCACTACGCCACAACCCCAGCCCCTCAGCCGTTTTTATTTGATTTTGAGATAGGGTTGCACTAATTTGTCCAGGATGGCCTTAAGCTTGCAATCCTCCTGCCTGAGCCTCCTAAGTAGCTGGGATTACAGGTGTATACCACCACACCAGGGCTTTTTCCTTTTTATCCTTTTTACATAGAAGTATAGGATATACAGAACAGTGTGTGTCGGCTCACTGAACTGATCACAAAGCAAACACCCACTTCACCTGGCCAGATCCTAGAATCCTTCAGTTTAGGAAAGACATCATTTCCTCCTGAAGCCAGGTGCTGCCCTTCTGAGTGAGGTGACTTCCCTGTGGCTGTGCTCCTCGGCATTCATTCCCACCCCCTTCCTAGCACTCAGTGCCCTTATGATCCCCGTTCACCACCTGTTTCTCTTATTGCCTTTTCTCCTCATGGCCATAAAAGCTGTGCCTACCCCAGTCACTGCTGTTCCTCAACCCAAGCACAGAGCCTGGCACGTCATAGATGCTGAATAAATATTCAAATAAATGCCTAGCAGGAAGAGAAGGAATAAAGGGGAAAGAGGGAGTAAGAAAAATTTGTTCCTCTTTTCAAAGAACTTACTACCAGGGGAGACAAACTCAAAATATAGATTATTATGACATTATGATAATGACCAAGGGAAGCTCAGGACATAGTGGTAGCCTGAAGAACTTTCAGTCCTTTGTGCTAGGGTTTTTGTTGGTTTCTCCGTGGGGGTATGTTTGCCTAAGCTTTGACGTACAAACACCGAGTGTTTCCTGAGGAAAGGTGTGTCTTCTAAGGGAACGAGTGCTGGTGCCGTGGCGTAGAGGAGCATGAAAACAGCTAGAGCACTTAGGCCAGGGACAGTGGTGGGGGGAGATGGGCTGGGGGTCTCTGATCAGCAGCCTGACCTGGCCTGGATCCAGACCATGTGGACATAATTCCAGACCTGGTCTGCTTTGATTAGGTCTGTGACCTCAGGGTGGCCTGAGTATGAGCCAGACCACCCCAGAATTGCTCCAGGTCCCATCGCCTAGGCCTGTTCTGCTTAATTGAATCTGCATGGGTCTCAGAACGCTGAGGGGGCCGCTGGGTGCCAAAAGGGGAGGACCGTGAACTTTGCAGTCAAGGTCTAGGGCAGAGTTCCAGCTCTGTCTCTCAGTAGCTGTACAGTCTTGATCTTTTACCTTTGAACCTGTTTCCTTATCTATAGAATGTGATAATAAGAGTTATGAGCATTAGATGGGAAAAGTGATTTATAAACTGCCTCATGCACATTTTAGGATCCAGACCCAGTGTTTCTAAAATGCTGTAAGGGGTTAAAAGGCCCTTTAAAAACAAAAAGAAGCATGAACTGCTCCACTGATTTATTATCCTTGGACTTCGTTTCCTGGTTGGTGAAGTACAGGGCCCAGTACCCGTTGCTTAGTTCAAGCCAGTTTCCTGTTATAATGGCAAATATTACCACCCGGCAGGGGTTGTGAATGAGGTCCCTGTCACAAAGCACATGGCCTTGTTCCTTAATTGCCAGGGTGGAATTAATTTGCTCTTCCTGTTTCTCTTGTGACAGGAAGTAGATGTCCTTGAATTTCAGTTGATTAATGGAGGCCTCGAGCAGAGTGCTGCAGCCTCTCTTACTTTTAATCCTTATGCAATGCAAGGCCCTAATTTGATAATTTTGCTGTTTTTTAGATGGATCACCTACTGGTTGAAAATATTGAGCGGGAAACGTTTCATCTCTGCTCCCGCCTCATTAATGGGCCATACCGGCGGACGGTGAGAGCTCTGGTCTTCACATTAAAGCACCGAGCTGAAATCCGGGAGCAGGTGAAGAACGGCTCGCTGCCCGTCGGCACGTTTGTACAGACCCACAAAAAGTGACCCGAGGACGGTTCCAACCCTGGGCTGGGCAGAGAGGAAAATGGGCCTCTCTCTGCCATTCAAAGACTCTTTTGAGTCTGGGTGATGGCTGGTGCTGGCTGTGCTAAATTTTCCCATGGTGCCATTCCTTCAGACAGAGGATGCGGGGAGCCCTGGGAGACAGGCCTGCGGGAACCTGCTTCATTAGCCACCACGCGCTGGTGCTGCCTAACAGGATGCACGCAGGCTGTCACTAGGAAGCGCCATACGATTGCCATCACCCAACACAGTGAAAGGGTGACGGATTTCACTGTGAGCATGCCAAGGACACCTCTAAACTTCCCCCATGTCAGGCAGATGAAGTTAACACTGTATTTCGCCACCCTGCAGGTAACTGAAACTCAATTACCGCTGCTGCTCACTCGGTTCCATCCCCCTGAGTTTAGACAGCTCCGGTGCCTCTCAGAACTCCCTGTCTGTTCTCTTTGCTCTACCCCAGGGGTGAGCCTGCCAGAGCCCGCCGACCAGCCCTGCTTTCCAGAGCTCACTTATCTGAACGGTTCAGCTCTCCCTGGAAGACCTTCTGTGTGGGTCTCCGGAGCCCCCATGCTGAGGCCTCTAATGAGCAACTGGCCCAAAGCCTCCCCACACCTCGGGGTTTATTTGAATACGCTGGCTCTGGTTTAGGACTCTGTAGAACATACATAATGAAATTTCTTCTGCAATGAATTACTGTGGTAAGAAAAAAATGCATATTTTTAAAAAAGTGAAATACCTATGTACAGGCCTGCTCAAAGAATGATGTAAATGATATTTGCCTTTTTTAAAGTACTATTAAACTGAGACTTGTGTTCTAAAACAAAAGGTGTGGTTTCCTCACTGAAAAGTGTTCTGGGTTGCGAAGGGGTACAGTTGGTAAAATTAAAGAATGGCAGGATGAGAATTTGAGGGAAGGGATAAGACCCAAGGAAAGCTTTTCAGACTAGGGGAGACAGGTGCATGTCTGCAGTCTGAAAGGAAGGAGCCAATTACAAGGGGGAGATTTAAAATTAAAGAAAAAAGGGATGGGTTGGAAAGCGAGGACAGGAGGAAGGGCTAATGTCTACCCAAATGCCTGGTGCTTTTCCTAAGAGGATTTATTGACATGCATCTTTATATATATAGTCTTTGAAAACCCTGTTAATTCCTTTGTGTTTGGTAAGTATTGTTCCAATCTTTTAGATTTGTTCACTACTGAGCAACGTTTACCGGGTGCCCATTCCATGGGGCATGCTGGATACCTAGCAGTGGCTGCAGTGAGACCTTGAGGCTCAGAGCACAATATGCTGTCCAGTTGCCACTGCTAGTCACTCCTGGAGCTAGAATAATAACAGTACTTACTGTGTGCCCAGGACTGTGGTAGCATTTTACAAAAAGAAAATACCCGATTAAAGATGAGAAAGGTGAGCCTCTGAAAAGGGCAGTAACTTACTCAGGGTCACAGACAATGATCTTGGTCTGCTTGATGGTATATAGTATATAGTCTCTAGTTGATTCCATCAGCTCTCATATTTTCAAGCTTCATTTAGATGCCGATGGGATTCCAGTTTGTATTTGCAGCCCACACCTGTGCCCTGTTTTCAGCAGTATCTCCTAGATATTCCGTGGACATCCGTGATGCTAAAACCCATCAGTGGATCGATCGCTGTTACCTTCTGGATAAAGTACAGCACCTTCGTGCTGGTGTACAAGGCCACCTGTGATCTGGCCCCGCCTTCCTCTCCGTTCTCACTTCCTTCCATTTTCACCAGACTGCTTGTAGTTCTTCCACATCGTATTTCTTTTTTTTTTTTTTTTTAATATTTATTTTTTAGCTTTAGGTGGACACAATATCTTTATTTTATTTTTATGTGGTGCTGAGGATCGAACCCAGTGCCTCATGCATGCTAGGCGAGTGCGCTACCACTTGAGCCACATCCCCAGCCCCTCCACATCGTATTTCTTAAAGCAACTGAGCATTCCCTTCCTCGAGTGCTGCTCCCCGCCTAATTCCTTTCTTGCCCTCACCACAGTACCCTGTCTACTCTTCTAGACATATCCATGTGTTCTGTCATTATGTCAGTTCTGTCTCCCCACTAGATTGTAAATCCTCCCTGACTGATCAGAGATCCTGTCTCACTGGGTATCTTCAGTGCCTGGAACAGTGCATGGCCATAGTAGTAGCCAATAAATATTTGTGGATGTCCAGATGTCTGCACTCTGCATGGTTCCCCCTTCCTCTGTTATCCACAGAGTAGCCAAAACGAGTCTCTTAAAATGTAAGACAAATGATCTCTTCTTTGCTTAAAACCTCCCAGTGGCTTCCATTCTCTTGGTGTAAAATCCCTTACCATAGGGCTGGGGACATAGCTCAGTTGGTAGAGTGCTTGCCTTGCATGCATAAAGCCCTGGGTTCAATCCCCAGCACCACCAAAAAAAATCCTTACCATATCCTACAAGGCCCAGCATGATCTGGCCTCTGACTGCCTCTGACCTCATTTCCTGTTATGCTCTCCCTTATGCTTCTGTGGTCCCATTGGCTCCCTTGCTGCTTTGCACCTACTTACTAAGCATGCTTCTGTCGCAGGCCTTTGTACTCACTGTTCTGATAGCAGTACTTGTTCCTTAGATGTCTACATGTTCCTGCCCTTACTTGGATCAAGTCTTTTTCCCTTATCAGAAAAGCCTTCACTGACTTCCCTGAGTAATATTCCCTCCCAAATATTCTATAATACTCTACTCTGCTTTATTTTTCTGCAGAGCATTTCATATCCCTTGACACAATTCTTCATTTCTTTATTGTCTTTCTCCTGCTTCAAGAATCTAAGCTTCAGGAAAGCAGAGGCTTTGTTCTGTTCCCTGCAGCATCTCCAGCACCTGGAACAGAGACCGGCACAAGCTAGATCTCCATAGCCATTATTGCCTAGTTGAGTGAGTGGCTGTGGATGGAGAGGAGAAGCATCTAATTCAACCAGGAAATACTTCCTGGAGGAGATGATACTTCTGTGCAGTTTTAAAGGGCAGAAATCAATTGGGTAGTTGAAGTGCATGCCTACAGAGAAGACAGTAAGGAAAGACCCAAAAATGGAGATTTCTGGAAGATGATTTGGGCTGGGTATGGTGGTACACACCTGTAATCTCAGGAGGCTGAGGCAGGAGGATCACAATTTCGAGGCTAGCCTCAGCAACTTAGTGAGGCTCTAGGCAAATTAGTGCTGCCCTATCTCAAAAAGTAAAAAGGGCTGAGGAGGTGGCCCAGTGGTTAAGTGCCCCTGGGTTCAATTGATACCCCACGCCCCCAAAAATGATATGTATGGCTGGAGTGGGGGGACACATGCAGGAGAGTTGCTGGAGATGAGGCAGGAGAGAAAGGCAAGAATCAGGACCATATTTGGAGTGTCCTGAAAATCAGGTGAAGGCCTTTGACTGATTCCCAGCGGGAACTGGTCGTTTTTGTGTTAACAGAAGCTGGGGCAGGGAGAGTGAGTGGATGTAGGAAGCTTCATTTATAAACAACCAAAGAGTTCTGCTAACTTGGGAAGCCAGAGTAAGTTGAAAACACTGCTTTCTGGCTGAAAGGCTTCAGTAGTGATAGTTGGAAAGTAAAATGATTGCAGAGATGTGCTTTGGAGATTTGGAAAGTGGGCTGTGTTATTTGTGGCTGTTTTCTCCTTGATGCATGTGCAGAATTTCCATGAACGCTAATGGAGCTATTCTGAGCACTTGCAGAAGGGAAGGAGGCTTGCAGACACCCATCCACACTTGCCCGCCCACCAAGAAGCACTTCTGGGCTCTAGTCTGTTAAAAATGAAAGGGTTGCTCCTAGAATGGAGTGAGAAAAGTTCCTGGCACCTCTGAGTTACCTGTGAGTTTCGGTGCGCGTGTGCCTTACAGCCCTTTCAGTCACTTAAGGAAATTTGTAAGCAGCATCAGTCTACACCAGCGGCTTGTTGATCCTCTTCTCATGCTGGAGTCCTAAATTGGAGTCCTGGTTCTTTGGGTTAGGGACAGAGTCTTTGTATTTTCACTCATTCACTCCACAAACAAAAGTTGTTCCTCTCCTCTGTGCCAGGACTAGCCTGGCCCTGGGGAAACAGCCGTAAATGAGATGTCATGTCCACCTTGAGGGGCTCTTAGTCTGGTGAGACAGACACAAGTAGATAATGATGGTAGAGCATATTGGGTGATTAGACATTTATTTCAAATATGGAGACAATAGAGAAAGGAGTGATTAATGACTCAGAGGAAGAACATCTTCAGAGAAGAGCTCATCTTTGAACCAAGGCTGTGCAGAAGCATAAAGGTGTGAAACATACGGTTGGCCTCTGAGGGCAGACAAGGGGCCGTGGTTGAAGTCTAAGGGCTCAGGAATGAATTGTGGTGAGAAATGGGCGAAAACAGTAACAGGGGCCTTGGAGGCCTCACCAAAGACATTGGACCTTGGCCTCCAGACAGTGGAAGACCATGAGAAGTTTTTAAGGAGCTGAGGGACCTGATTAGATGTGTGTTTTAAAAAGATTTGTTTAAAAAAAGTTCCTGCATAAACATATTTAAGAAAAATTTGAACATTTATTTTAAAAACTCAATTTTTTTAAAAAAGGAAAGAACACAGTAAATGAGAGTTTTTTGTTTTTTTTTTTTAAATTGAAGTTTAGAGTTGCCCAAACAGATACCATTAGAGTCCCAGGCTTGAAAAATGGCAGGAGGCTCAGATAACACACTTACCGCGTCGGTGGGGAGAGAACAGGCAGCTGGCATTTTCCCATTTATACAATGTCGGGTTCTTAAACTTGTGCCTGTCAACCTTGGTTTTCTTTTGCAGCAGCCTCAGGCCTCACAGCCTCACTCTGAGCTTTGTAATGTGTTTTGGATGCGTTTATCACAGCCAGATGGGGCAAGGGCTCAGTTTGTTACTGCCCATTATTGCTATCAAAGGGAGTCCATCCAGAAAAACAAGGCTTTGGGAGCTTCCATTAGTTCAGTGACACTGCCCTGGTTTCAAAGGAGAGATGGTTTGATTGGATGACATTGTGTTTTCTTTTAAATTACCCAAAATGATACAATTGCTGTCAGGGATGGACTACCCATAACTTGGGTATGTTGGTTTCAAGATCCTAGAAGACCAAGATGTCCAATCAAATGCTGTTTTTCATCTTGTTGAAGTCACTCATTCAGTGCATATTTGTTGAATTCCGTGCCAGGTACAGGGATCACAGGGATAATTGAGACAGTGTCTGGCCTCAAGTTCATGGTCTAGCAGAGGAGAGAGAAAATAAATGGACCGTTTTTAAAAAAGCAAACAACTATGACTTATGGGAATTCAAAGAAAAGGAAATAAAAATGTTAAAAGATGCTCAGCCTCCCTGGTGATCAGATGATGACAGAGATTAATGCCGTCCTTAGAGAACTAAAGGATACAGGGGTGGAGATCCCCATGCCTCTCTAGTTAACCCCCTAGATTGACCCCTACATAAAGCAGGTGGCTCCTAGAAGATGTCTGCAGCAAGACCAACCACGAGAGTTCTGCGGGCAGCTGCCGTGCCAGATGTGGTGTCTTTCCTCGAGCACGTTATCATGTTCTCAGGCTCTTGGTGTGTGGCTGTGGAGCTAGTGAGGGTTTTCTTTCTCTACCCTATCACAGGAAGATCAGGAGCAGTTCACATTCACTTGGAACAGATAAGAGTATACATTTACAGACTTGCCCCAGGGATGTTAAGGCTCTTACCCTCTCACAGCCTAGCCTGAAAAGACCTGTACAGCCTAGACATCTTACAGAACATCACGCTGAGCCCAGAGATTGAAGTCATCAGCTGATTGGTCCACAGGAGCAAAACCTGGCAAGTCTA